ATTACTTATCGATAACAGTTGAGCTACCTCGAAAAGAACGTATAGTACACGGAAAAAAAGGCTTGGTTGAATTTACCAAGTTTTTCTTGGTTACGTATATATTGGTAACTACAACCATTGACTTGGTTGCCGTACCCATGTACACTTAGTTAGTTTGACAATTCAAATTTGGTTGGAACTATTGGTGCTTATAACCAACGCAATTGGTTGAAGTAACCAAAAAACTGTATTGCGATTGATCACCCAGAAATTAGTTCTCACAACCAATGACCGTAGCTAGTTTAACCAAGTTCTTGGTGAATTAAAAAGCATGGCTGCACTGCAGTCGAAGACTGAACGTGCTAACGTACGGATGTCGTTGCGTCGTCGTTGACGATTTTTCTCATCGACGTCGTGTGCGGGTTATCGGTCGCGGTGAAACGCGAGCGGTAAGTAGTATAGTAATGCTAATTCGAAGCCATGGTGCTTGCGCGGGGGTACAGGGCCAGGGAATCCCCGCGCCGCTGAGATCCCCCCTTCCCGCCGAGATTTCCTCGCCCTGCACAATGGCTTCGAATTGATATTGCTGTACTGTTGCAGTAAACCCTTCGGCAGTGAGTTTCTCGGTCGTGTCCCGATAACTGCGTGTTCGCGGTATCAGTGTGTGAGGTATCTTGGAGAACGGGAGCGCGGCGGGAATCGCCGACGGACCCGCGAAGTCCTTCATCAACCTAACCTAATCTTCAGCACGCGGCGGCCAGCGGAGAATCTACGTCCCGGATTCCGGGACGACGCTCGCGAGCCCCGAGGGGTTCGTCGACTTTTTCCGCGCGCTCGGCGGTCGACTTCATAAATATTGGACACGAATACGCGCCACATACGTACGCCGCCGTCCCGACCGCGAAAGGACGGACGAGGCCGCGAGGGAAGAAATAGGGGAAGTCGCGGCTTGATAGCCGCGGATCGCGCTGAGGTGAATTATGAGCATGCGACGTTCTCCAGCGCGCCGTCATCGTCACCGTCATCATCATCGTCGTGATCACTGTCCCGCGATCGCCGGTTGCTTCGCCGTAATCGAAGACTTTTTCCACAAGTGCATCGACCGCGCGAATCTTCGTCGTCGTCATCGTCATCGTCACCGTCTTCACCGTCGTCGCAGTGCAATGATGGAAGAAAGTGTGGCGGATTTATTGAAAAATTGGGGATTTGAGAAATTTGTCTCAATATTTGAAGGTAAGTTCTGTTGCATTTATACTATTAAATTAGATTTTTAATTAATAAGTTTTGCAAAGCGTGAATTGTCTGCATTGTGTGAAATTTCCATTTATTTTTTCCGTGCATGGCGCACATAATAACCTATATAATAGACTTATCCGGCCAACGTCTGCGTTCGCATCCTTGCACTAGCTAAATCTACAATGTGCTTTTTGCTTCCTGTTTTCTGCTCTTAACTTCTTTGCGATTATCTCGTATTTCGCAATTCCGTTGCGTAACGTGATGTTTCTTGTCTCTTCTAAAGTTGGTCAATTTTTATCTTGGACGACAAAGATAATCGCAAAGATGTTTAGAACACAAAACAAGAAGCAAAGAGCACATTGTATATTTGGCTTATTATTGTTGCCACTTGTCCATGACTGTACTACACTTCTCACAAAAATTAAAGAAACACTAAATTTATCTTTAAAAATAGGCAAAATTTAAGCAGCTGTAACTTTGTTAAAAATAAACAAAATTTAAATTTAAAAAAAAGATTGTGAAGCTTGAAATCTCTATTTTTGAAAGGTTACTATTATCTTTTAGTTTCTGTGAGTTTGATAATTTTTACATATAAAAAACTACGAGTTGGACAAAATAGAAAATTTTTCTCTCACTTTGTAGGCCTGTCACGTTCAAAAAAAAATCTGTGAAAATTTTCGACTTCCTAACGTGAAAGCTTGAAGTTTTTCTTGCAAAATCATTTTTAAAACTGTTTCTATGATTTTTTGTTATTAAGTTATCGTGGATACCACAAAATAAAAGAAAAATTTTCTATTTTGTCCAGCTCGTAGTTTTTTATATGTAGTTTGAAAAAAATTGTTGCGCTAGTAATTAACTTGTCTGAAATTATTTTTATTTTGATAGATGAGTCACCAGTCACAATTTTGCATAAGTTTGCTAAACTTTTTGAGCCAGTAATACTGAATGCACGAATTGGCAAATTCAAGACGCGGCCGACTAGAGCAGAAATTGCGGAAGGATTGGTATTGCACGTAAAGGTATGTAAGGTTCTTACATTTTTTAACATTAACCCTTCCAACGTATTTTCTGGTCCTCACATTAGTCCTCCAGCCATGCACTTTCGTATCCCACCGAGATTTTGATTGTTCGCCGTTTCGAGAGTAAATGAGCTAAGACTTTGAAATTTCTACCTGATGTTCCCTACTATAACAACTTTGTTTAGGGGTAGGGGGATTATCTGACAATCATTTGTTTTCCGAAACAAACGACTGTTAGAATCTCATAAGACACGAAAGGGCGGGTTGGAAGGATTAGTGTTAATATGTTGAAACTATTTTTGTCTTCACTACATGTATTTTGAATTTCATCATGTGTTATAGGTTATTGACGATTTGATGCCAGCAATTAACCGCATGCGCTTGAAAGCTGAGCAGCTAAAAACAACATTGCAACCCCTAGCGGCAGTTGTTGGTCTCACTCCGCAAAATATAACTGCATCGTTGCAATAGACGACATTTTATACAAGCTGGACAGTCCATTACGAGCCGTCGATGTCTGCTTTAAGTGCATTCATGCCTTACATGCACAGTACCCAGTGCAAAGTGAACGCCCGTGGTTGGTACTACAGCAGATCATTTATGACATCTACACGCCGTGGGACGCTCAGATTCCTGTTGTGATACAAATGTGTAAGAAGTTTGCACTCGCGTAATACGAAGTACAATTTTAAAGACTGTTGTATAATATAGATTATAAAGATATAGATATAGATATAGATTATAATATAGATTATAAAGAGTTATATAAACTGCGTTAATTGGTATGTTTAGTCGTTGATAGTCTCCCGTCGGGCTGTATAGATTAGGTTAGGTCCTCATTGCAGATCATTGGTTAAAACACAAGCCGCTAAAATGCCGCATTGCACAGAATGTGGCCTTCTCGTGCTGTCGGTACAAGCTCTTCAGATACACAATACAATTGTGCATAACTTATCTAACTCTGTAGTATTTAGATGTAAAGAAAATGATTGTTTCCGCGATTTTACAACGTGGAATGCATTCAAGAAACATTTACTTTTCGCGCACAGCTGTTTTTTAAAAACTCCATCCCAGGAACGACATTGTATAGAGACCGTTCTAAAGAGCCCGAAATAGGGAATGCAGACTACGATGAACCTATCATTGATGATTCTGCTATTGCAGCACATAAATTTTGGGAATTGCCATCCGATTCTATGCAAAGCGCTAATTCCACATACTCTCGACGGAATATAACGTATACTCTCGCTTTGAAAGAAACTTTTAGATTATTTTTTAGACAGCTGTGCGAGCGAGGACTTGTTTCAAAATTTGAGGTAGGACCTCATAGTCTTATGGACCAAATATGCCTTGAGGAAATTGCAAACTCATTACCGGCTGTAGAATTCCAAATTAATACTTATATCAACGTGCTGTGGGTAATTTCGAAGGGTATTTCGTACAAATTAAATACCTGCCTAGTTCTGAAACTTGATTTGGATGAGATACCTGTTTTCGGCATTATTAAAACAATTATCTGCAATGAGGATAAAAAAGTAATCGTTCAATGCAACATGTGCACAAACGTTGGATTTAATGAAAACCTTTATTCCTATGAAATAATTAGTACAAATAATTACAAATTCTTTCAACTTGACACATTGTTGACTAATTTTCCATGTATTCTGCACCGAATGGCAAGCGGTCAATTATTTGTCACATTAAAATATGTAATTTAAATAAATAAATAAATACTAAATATTTTATAAATATTTTCATAATTATATAGGTAACAACAGAACCCGCAATTAACTAGAAAATTATACATTTTTATGTGAAATATTTTTTATAGCTCAGTTTATCCGTGAAAATATTTTTTCTTATATAATGAGAAAAAATATTTTAACGGATAAACTGAGCTACAAAAAATATTTCATATAAAAATGTATAATTTTCTAGTGCTTCGATCTATTAATTTCACCAATACAGATGGTTAAATTAACTACGGCCGTTGGTTGCATCAGTCATAACAGTTGGTTCCATCAACCAACTAACTTGGTAAAATCAACAAAAACAATAGGTTAGAGCAACCAAGTGACGCCTGAGGTTTTACCAATATCTTTTGGATGGTCCAACCAAGTACTATGGTTGCTCCAACTACGGCAGTCTAACCAAGTGCCGTTGGTATATGTAACCAAGATATCAGTTGTCTTGTATATAATCAAGGCACTTGGTCGAGGCGACCATTTTTTTGGTTATCTCAACCAAGTCTTTTTTTCCGTGTATAACACATAACTCCACTGCAGCATTGGCTTGTTGACGTAGTGTGATCTAAAGGCTCACACGCGATACGCGCCGTGTTTCGCTCTTTCCTAGATAGTCTACGCGATACGGAGATGTTTTTTCTTCCATGGGCCTTACGGGGGCCGTGCCGGGTACGGAGGGCGACGAGGGCGGAGTGCACGCGAGGAGTCTCCATACCTCCGAGTCGGACTAGGCCCGACGAGGCTAATGTTGCTTTTTTACTAAAGGGAGTTGGCAGCCAGTTTGCTTTGCTCGCCTACCTCCGCGGCCTCGGCACGGCGACCCTCCGCCCCGGAGTGGGCGGAGGTTCGACTGTGCAAAATGACTTAATGAACGGTATCTTCCACTCGGGCTCTCTAATCATTCCGGGCACTTACTTCTTGCCGTCAGCCATTTACTTTCGCAACTAGCGCTTCTTGCCGTTCCTCATTCCCCTCGCCAGTCCGCCACCGATCCTTTTTCCCCCGGTCCACTGACGAGATTCGATAATTACGGGAAAATCCGAGCGAGGGAACACCTACGTGGAGAACACCTCCGCTTCGATGCAGCTGGATCGCGTGCAGCTGCCTTTTTCCAGCTCAGCACCCGACGTACCACCGATCGTTCCCCCCTCCTCTCTCCCCGCGTGCTTGTTACGATAGGGTTGATCTCGAAGAGATCTCTAATGCCGCTGTGGACTCGACTGAGTGGCGATCGCGAGCGGTTTTAAAAGAGGATTTGCATATCCGCGTACATTTCGACTTGGTCGAGGTTTCGGGCCGATATCATTCGCTCGAAGAGAGGACGCTGACCGAGGGTTATTTAAAAAGTTAATGCCCTTTTTAATATTACATTATTCTTTCGACGCAACCTCTGAATCCTGAGTACTTAATACTTTAGGATCTTTGCGAATTAACATTTGTCGATAATATTATATCGTATAACAAGAAGAGATTCGCTGAAATATTATAAAAGATATTTGTTTCCCGAGAGAGTCGCAGAAGTGGAAATTACAATATACACGTTGGCATTATATCGATTTAAAATGTAAATATAATTAATATTAAATAATAACTGAAAGAACGATAATTAGGTAGAATAAATTTTCTTTTAAAAGGAGGCTTTAATTGGTTCCATTCTATATTCTTTCCTTCTATTACCTCTTTGTACTCTTCAATTAAGCCCAGAATATAGCGATCGGGTCCAACCTAATATTTTTCTTGGAAAGAAAGAAGTTATAAAAATAATTTGCGCGGTTATTTTATTGCGCAATCTTTCTATAAACGATAGGAGATTATATCACATTGAAAGATGTACTCCATGTTTCTATAAAAGATTTATTATTTTATATCAGTTTTATCAACAATTCAGAAAATTGTTTATGAGTAAGTTCAATATAACATTACTTTTAGGAAAGAATATTATGTTGTATTGTTATTTAATGATTTTGTGTTAACACATATTTGTGTTAATTACAACTTCCTCACTGTCGAAAAAGGAATTAATAGAGGTATATAGAATGTATACATTATATGAAATATTAAATTCTCTTATCAACAATTTCAATAAATTGTTAATGCTAAGCTCGAGTCAACACATCTCTGAGAAAAAATAGGCCCACTACTAACGGTGAGGTGAAGTCGCACCTCGGGAACGAACTAAATTACAAGCATCCGACGTATCGTCTCTCTCGCGCATGCAAAAACTGATTGGCGCGAGGAACGGGCGAGCTTGGCCTGTCGGCTGCCTCGTTACTACGAGGCAACGACTCGTAGCGCAGGATACAGTTGCAAATTGAAACTCGGCCGAGAGAGAGAAAGAGAGAGAGAGAGAGAGAGGGCTGGCCAGCGACCCTCCCGACGGGTCGGGAGGCAGGAAAAAAAATGCGGAGGGACAATCGTCGGCCCCGGACAGACTCATAACTTATAAATTAGATTCATGTCGTCGGCGGGAAGCGCGCGCCTGTGTGTCGACGTGTCGACGTATAGCCTGGGGTCCGCGCGCGGCCCGGCAAATATATATTATGACGCCGCGGTCTGCATTCTTTGCGAAACGCAATAACACCTCCCCGTCCCTCTTTCTGTCCTCCTCTGTCCCTCTGTGCCCGTTGTAATGCTCGCTCCTTCGTTTCCTTCGCGAAAGCTTGTGTAAGTATGCACGCACCTGCACGCTCTCGCGCGCTTTTCGTGCTCTCTCCTCGCGCCGGACGGGCCTTCAGCAATCTCTCGCGTATATAGTAGCTGTAAACGCAGCGAGGGGAGGTATTAATATTGCATTCGGGACCATCTGGCGACACGGCGGGTTATTAAAATGTAAACTTCATTATCATTCCCCGCTGTAATTACATTTTTTTCACCCCCGCCCACCTTCTCACGCCCCCGCGCACTCGTCGTCTCTCTCTCGGCAAGCGTGCGCGTTTCTCGCCGGTTGCATTAGCGAGATCTCATTTCGATGGAAAAAAGGTGAACGGATGAGAGGAGAATCGTTCCTCCCGAGCGTTATTCCGTCTCATTCGAATTCCGAATTTTCCATTTCGATTTCGAGCTTTTCTTTCGCGCGCTCGAAACTTTTTGCCCGGCCAGTGTTCGCGCGCGCGCTTGATCGAACGGGAGGGTGAATTTCTTGAGAGCTACCGAGGGCTTTTCCTCGAGTCTGCTTTTTTCACATTTGCTTTTGGAGATTCGATGGACTTTTCAAATTATTCCGTCGGCGTAATTCGTCGGATCCGTATTCGTGCTACACGTTGTCGAGAGGTTGTACAATATCGCTGATTAAATTGCTGGCGTTAGGTATCTATATGCATTCAGATTGCCGCTTCACATCTCATGTTTCCCTTCTAATCCACCGTTAAGGGAAGCTGAAAATTTTATGTAGGTATACAGGACGCACACACATAAGAAAACGCACGCTTGCTCTTAATTACTATAGGAATAGGAATTTTGCATCAATCTCGTTGATGGTAGACGTTGAAAAACATGGAATTACTCAAGTTGAAAAGTGTTGAATTTTAAAGATACAGATTTTTAATTTCAGATTTTGTATGAGATTCTTCAATGTTTAATAAAAATTAAAAAGTTGGGAAAAAGATTAAATGTTTTACGCTAACGAAAAATCAACTTCAAATTTGCCAGGCATCTGTAATTAAAAAAGATATGCATTATTTGATATTTGATATACCTATTCCTATGTAGAAGTTGGTTCAAAGTTAC